CCCTAAATCCTAAGCTCGCCGGAGGGCCCTTTGAACGTGCCCGATGCCTTTTCCTATTTCATTTTTAAATCGGGCCTTTTGAACGTGCTCGATTCCCAAACTTTAAATGCGAAACCCTGAAGCCTGTAGACCCTAAACCCTAAATCCTAAACCACAAACCTCAGACCCTAAACTTTAAACCCTAAGTGGCATTTTTAAAGCTCGTTTCTTTGCATGTGGCAAGCTGTGCCTTTTCCAAGTGTTTTTTTCTTATGGCGTCCTTCCGAGACGAGGAGTGCAGGTAGTGTTTAATTGCTTGTGTGGTATAGTGTTTTGAGCTGATTGCTTGGCTGTAGGCTGGTTTGGTGGTGGATTCGCAATAGGATGTCCTAGCCTAGTATCTCTTCGTCTCGGAAGGCGCTCGGTGGTCAGATCTTGGGAGAGTACGCAGTTCGAGTTGAAAGGTAAAACTGTAGCTAAGGCAGCCAAGGGTACGGACGGCGGAACTGCGTACTCTCCCAACATTAAACGAGCGGGGCGTTACTCCGGGCGGCACTCAGTTGCCCAGATGCTACGGAGTAACACCCCGTCTCGGCGAACCACTCATAGACGTTGTTGTTTGTTGTGTATATAAGTATATACATGTGTGTGTGTGTTATTATTTTTCGCTGGTTGGTGGTTTCGGATCGTGGGGTTTTAATACCATATATCTACATATATATATATATAGAGAGAGAGATTCTTTTATATAGACAGATTTTTCGTTGCACTTTCACGGGCCTAGCTCCCTTGCTCATCGCTTCTGTAGTGTATCTCATATGCTTGCCTACGGGCACGGTAGTTTAACATCTGATGATCTATGAGCAAGGGGGTCGTTGACTGCTGCGAAGAGCGTACCTTGACAGCCTAACACACGAATCATCCGTACAATCACCAGTCTAGTTCCTTTCATAGGGTACCAACAGACGCACACTTTCTAGGTCAGCTTCCAAGGGTCTAGTTTCGAGGGTCTTTGGTCTAGCTCCGTGAATTAATTCGTGCACTCATTACATTCACTCCTTCGTTCACTCGCTCACACACATATTATTCACGCGTCGCTCACTTGTTAGCTTTTAGTCCTGAGCCTCCCTGAACCTTAGAACGTACTTGTAACCCTAAACCCTAAACCCTAAACCCTAAACCCTAAACCCTAAAACCCTAAACCCTAAACCCTAAACCCTAGAAGCCCTAAAACCCTAAACCCTAGAACCCGAGGCCTGGTGCTTATTTGGGCACCCATCATGTGCTTCCCTCAGTGGGTCGGCGGTCTCTTCTTCGGAGCTCTCTATGGCAGCCGGGAAGCTTTCGCGATCTTCGGCGCTCGCATGGCCGCCATGTGCCCAGGCAATTCTGATAGGGCTTTTGGCTTTTCTAGGGCTGTGAGGCTGTCTCAATCGGAGGGTTATTGGGTGTAGAGTTCGTGTCTGGAGGCCTACAGGGTCCAGGGCCCTAAACCCTAAACCCTAAACCCTAAACCCTAAACCCTAAACCCTGTTTGCGCAAGTCGTGGAGCCGCAGGTGCATCGTGCGGAAAATGGATGCCCACATCCCCTGCACTCGTGCCCTTGGCCTCTGCCATCTCCTGACTTTCGGGCCCATCCTGCCCTGGCTGCTATATCCCCCTTGGGAGTTTTTGTTTTTAAAATTTTGTTTATATGGCACCCTAAGGGATATTCAAAATATTACTTTTGTTGAGGTTCTAAGGGGGGTATAGGCTGGCCAGCCGCCCCATGTCTGGCGATCGAGTTCTGGACGCATTTCTGAGCTTTGAAGTCCGGGTCATCAGCCTCTGCCTCTTCCTGGACGCACGAGACCTGCTCCTCCACTGTTTGGGCTTCCCGCCTCTCTGCTCAATTGGAGGGTTGCTCACTAGTTCTTCTGTTCCCCCCCCCAACCTAAGCCCTAAACCCGAAATCTCCTGTTTGATTGAAAAGAGTTAAACTTGCCTTAAGCCTTGTAACCTCTCCCCCGCCCAACACAAAAAAAAGAGGCTTTGGTATGTCTTTTCTTTTGGTTCTCTTGCCTCACGTGCTGGTACTAGGGACTGCAGGAGGAAGGAACCTAGGCGCCTGCTTTGCGAGACTCCACAGCGTGCTTCAACCACCAAAGACAGTCGCTGCCACGACCTACGTAGTGGGGTTTCGGGTTCAGGTTTTGGGAAGGTCTCGTAACCTTAAGAAAGGGTTAAGGCTTGGAGTGATCACTGCCCCCCCCCCTTCCCCACAACAGCTAGGCCGCTGGCACATTCTTAGCGTTTAGGGTTTAGGGCTAGAGGGTTTAGGGTTTAGGGCTAGAGGGTTTAGGGTTTAGGGTTTAGGGTCCAGGGCCAGAGGGTTATAGGGTCACAGGGTTTTTAGGGCTTTCTGGGCAGTGGAGGTTCCCTTGCTACATCCGCGAGGGCGTCCGCGGAGGAAAGCTGGACATCGCAGACACGCGTGCAAAGCTGCCGGTGACCTTGCGATCCTGCCTCCTGGGGCCATAAGAGCTTCAGGGTTTAGGGTTTAGGGTTTAGGGTTTAGGGTTTAGGGTTTAGGGTTTAGGCCTAAATGGGCGGACATGAGCAGTTGCTTCGGGTCGAGCTAAGCATTGAGAGTTTAAGCCCAAGTTACAGCTCGTGTGTGCGGCTGACTGCGCATTCGATTGCATCCGACGCAGAATGGCGAGTGAAGAGTAGGGGACGAGGGTGAGGGAGGGGGAAGGGGCAGGAGTTCCCAAACCTCAGCCCTGCACCCGACAAGCCTCCCTAAGCCCTAAACCCTAAACCCTAAACCCTAATCCCTAAACCCTAAACCCTAAACCCCTAAACCCTAAACCCGTCTTGATTGTATTGGGAGTATAGGGAGGCAACCTCGGGTGATTCTTTAAAGCCAAGCCCCCGAAGTGCAGAATGGCCTTAATCTACTATTTGCTTAAGAACCGCAAAATAACAAAAATAGTTATGAACCCCTATATTGCCCTTATAATAAGGGAACCCCAAAAGAATACAAATAATAATGAACCCCTATATTGCCCTTATAATAAGGGAACCCCAAAAGAATAAGAAAAAAAGAATAACCCCTATATCGCCCCCCCTTATAATAAGGAAGAATATGTTTAAAAAAAAAATTGGGGGCTCTTAAGTAAGTAGTACAAATACAGGTACTCCCGTGTAAGCTATGCTGAAACTGAAGTGTCCAAACCTCAAGTTGCCCAACCCCAGCCCAGTCCCGGAACCTGAAACCCCAGTACTTAAGCAGAAGAAATCCATAAATTCCAAAGGCTAAGCTCTCAACCGCAGGGGGCTAAACCCAAACCCCAAAACCCAAAACCCTAAACCCCAAATCCTAAACCCTGAACCCTAAACCCTAAACCCTAAACCCTAATCCCTACCGCGACTCTCCAGGGAATGACACGAGACTCCTGGAGCCTTCAAGCAGGGCTACGCAACACATGCGGTTTAGTTAGGGTTTAGGGTTTAGGGTTTAGGGTTTAGGGCTTAGGGCTTAGGGCTTAGGGTTTAGGGTTTAGGGTTTAGGGTAAACATTCTTCCTTGCAAGGGCCAATATGGGGGGTTACGATACTGGGGGATGCCTTTTTGGTCCTGCTATGTGGGGTTTCTTTTGGGGTGTCTGTTATCTTTGCAAACCCCCAAATGGGGATCATTATTCTCCATTTTTGTTGGGGGTTCGTAAGTAGTATAAATCATAGTTACCCTAAACCCTAAACCCTAAAACCTAAGCCCCAAAGCTGCCCGCGATCCAGGATGACCTAGCAAACCCATATCACATCTCTCCGTCACATATCACTTGGGACTTTTTAATGATCCCTTTTTAAGGACTGCTAGTTTAAGGAGGAACATCCCAACATATTACATATAATATCACGGCAGTATCATGACATCCATGTATTTCTACTTTCGCCTATATGTGCATATGCTCTCTCTCTCTCTCTCTTTCTCTGTCTGTCTTTCTTTCCCTGCATGTGCTTGTTGTCTTGATGTTTGTATTTGGGCTTGTTTTTGAGCTGTGGTTTTGTACTTGTAGTTGCATGACTATGAAAATTCAGATTTTTGCATATAGACGGATACAGATAGACTATTCCAATGCAGATTCTTGCATATAGACGGGTATAGATAGATACGTACCCCTAAACCCTAAGCCCTAAACCCTCAACCCTCAACCCTAAACCCTAAACCCTAAACCCTAAACCCTAATGGGGGTTTGGGATTGGGGAGGGGTTTCCGGGCACCCGAAGATTCAAGAACAACATCTCACCGCCACGGCGGCTCATGCATTACAGCTTGGCTCAAGGTGGCAGACTATGATACTTCTGACCACTCACCTGAGCTCTCCAGGGAAGCTGCCCAGCAGAGTTTAGGGTTTAGGGTTTAGGGTTTAGGGTTTAGGGTTTAGGGTTTAGGGTTTAGGGTTTAGGGTTTAGGGTTTAGGGTTTAGGGTTTAGGGCTCAAGACGGGTTTGCACAAGATTCCCAGGAACAGTGGGAAGTACGTCTTCGCCATGAAGGGTTTCGGGTTTAGGGTTCAGGACACCCTTGTGAGTCGGCGAAAGATCTCATAGATGTGCCGCTACACGCTCAGCATCTTACGAACCTTCTCTAAGGGTTTAGGGTTTAGGGTGTAGGGTTTAGGGTTTAGGGTTTAGGGTAGTTGTCTGGTGGTCCTACATATTCGGGGGTCGCTGCTATAGCAACACTCAGACTTTAGGATCCGGGTTGCAAAAGGCTTTGGTCGGTTGTTGATTATTCGCCTCGCTTGCCAGCCATGTCCGCTTGGGAAGATGGTGGTTACGAGGAGGAGCCACAGGGTTTAGGGTTTAGGGTCTCGCTTTGCTCACATGAAACCGTCTCTGTGGGGGCCAGTGAGTAAACAGCTTGCTTCAAAGGGAAACTGCTTAATCCATTGCTTCAAGAGGCGAACTTCAGGCGACCACAACCACACCCCCCCCCAAAAAGAAAAAAAAACTATAAAAAAACATATACAAAAAGCAACAACAACTGAATAACAATAAACATTTTAATGCAAATAACAATAAGAAGAAACTCAAATAGAATCACGAAAAACAACAAAATGCACAAATCAAAATGAAAACAACACCAAACTGCAAACCCCGCACTTGCTTTGAATGCCTTGCGCCCTAGTTGGTGTGACTGGTCTTTGAGGGATAAGGACGTAGGAGTTGGGCTCCAGGTTTGGGTTCCAAGGCGTTCGGGTTTTCAGGGTTTTGGGGCCCCTTGAAGGTTGACCTTTTGCCCTAAACCCTAAACCCCAAACCCTAAACCCCAAACCCTAAACCCCCAACACTAAACCCTAAACCCTAAATCCTAAACCCTAAACCCTAAACCCTAAACCCTAAACCCTAAACCCTAAACCCTAAACCCTAACCCTAAACCCTAAACCCTAAACCCTAAATCCTAAACCCTAAACCCTTAACCCTGAACCCTACACCCTAAACCCTAAACCCTAAACCCTAAACCCTAAACCCTAAACCCTAAACCCTAAACCCTAAACCCTAAACCCTAAACCCTAAGCTTGCTTTTTGGGCTCCTTGAGCTGGTGACAATAGAGTCTGGCCGTATGTTGATAGCGGCCCAGAAGCTCCAACCATCGTGTGGTTTCAAGGGTTTAGGGTTAGGGTTTAGGGTTTAGGGTTTAGGGTTTAGGGTTTAGGGTTTAGGGTTTAGGGTTTAGGGTTTAGGGTTTAGGGTTTAGGGTTTAGGGTTTAGGGTTTAGGGTTTAATTAGGGTGTAGGGTTTAGGGTTTTAGAGTTTCGGGTTTAGGCTTCAGGGGGCACCTTACTAAACCCTCAGCCCCAAGCCCTCCATAATAAACAGGTTAGGGGCTCCAGGCTACCTCCGCGGGGGTGTTGAGATATCCCGGACTTCCATCTCCTAGCTTGGTAGGCAGGGTTTGGGGTTTAGGGTTTAGGGTTTAGGGTTTCGGGTTTAGGGTTTAGGGTTTAGGGTTCCTTGGGATATGTTACATTTTCCCTTATTGGGTGTAAGAGTGTTCTATTCAGGGGATAGGCTTTGTCCTAAGCTTTGTCTTCAGAGGTGGGTGTTCCGAAAGTAGGGGTACCTTAATTATTGGGCTCTTAGGAAACGGTGATCCTACTAGTTGGGGATCAAAATTGGGGGTCCCCCATTTTCGTAAATCCCTAAGTGTAGGCACATCCCCGCAGCCTGATTCAGGGTTTGGGGTTTCGGGTTTCGGGTTTAGGGTTAGGGGTTAGGGTTTCGGGTTTAGGGTTCGGGTGCAGGGTTCAGAGACTATCCTGCATCCCGAATTTTGGGGCAGGAGGAAGCGGAGGAGTCAGCCAGCGAAGACAGTGACCGCGCAATCACGCAGATGGATCCGCTTGAGTGCCCCGGACTATGCTGTGGTTTCTTCGTACCCTAAACCCTAAACCCTAAACCCTAAACCCTAAACCCTAAACTGCAGGATTCAGGCTGTCTGAAACTCAAGTCTCCGGAGTTTAGGATAAGGATGGGATTTTGAGATGAGGACTCCGGGTTGAGGCTTTAGGTTTTAGGTTTTAGGGTTTAGGGTTTAGGGTTTAGGGTTTAGTTTGAGATTTGACAGGTCGCGTGTTTTTTTTCTGGCTAGGGAGGCGGTTGTGTTGTCATAGTTACCCGGATCACAACCTTCAGCTTCAACAACTTCTACTGACCCTTCGGAATTGTCGACCTTTAGCCCCGGCCCCCAAATCCTGAAGCGATAAACCTGTCGACCCTGATCCCTTGAACCCCTGAACCCTAGACCCCAAGTCTGCAAATCTCGATTTCAACCCTAGACCCCAGACCCTAAACCCGAAGCCCTAAAGGCTAAACCCGAAAACTCTATAATCCCTACACCTGAACCCTAGACCCCATCTAAACCCTCAAGTTCCGAGTCCCTTAACTCCAGGCTCCGCTTCTCCCAGAGAAAGATGCGCAACGTCTTCGCCGATGGCAAGTTGATCGCCGACTCTGTTCAGCAGGCAAACCCAAACCCTTCGGGTTTCGGGGTTCAGGGTTTGGGGTTTAGGATATACTGTTCATTAGGTTCAGGGTTCGGGAAATCGGGCGTATGGGCAGAGGGCTTAGGGCCTCTAAACCCGAAAACCCTAAACCGCAACACATGTAGAGCTCGTCGCAAAGAATTGTCAGTGCCTGTAGTGGGTGGGGATACGGGCCAGCGGACCTGGATGGGAATCTAGGGTTTAGGGTTTAGGGCCTCTAAACCTCTAAACCCCAAACCTTAAACCTAGATGTAGGCCTTTTTGTGGGTTTAGGGTCTCCTCGTGGTTTCAGACCGTCTGCAGTAGAGTCGATGCCCTTGCGAATTACAGTATAGAGTCTAGAAGCACCTTCTATAGTCTAGTTTAGTATAGTCTAGTAAAGGCTAGTCTTGCCTGATATATAGTTTAGGATTGTGTTGTATAGTCTAGTCTAGAATAGCAAATACAGTACAGTACAGTTTAGTATAGCATCGTATAGCATAGTATA